CAGCGCCGGCGCCAGGGCAAGCCTCCCTCCCTTAGGGACTAGGAGGCGAGCTCCCAGGAGGCTGCGAAATAGACAGACAGATTTGAGAAACTCATGATTTTGTATTCTTAATCGCAATAGCTGTAGAGACTAGGAAATGGACTAGCGTAGGGTGCAGTTTATAGACCCGGCCCAAGGGACTGAAAGCACGTAGTCGCAGCTGCGGGCGCAGTGCACTACATTTGGGGGCTGTTCCGGGATTTCTTCCTGAAATATTTTTTTCTTCGAACCTGGAAAATGAAATACGAAGTCTGAAAGACTGTCTCCTCGAAGTCTTCGCTCGGTAAGGGATGCACCTCCGCAACGGACGCGTTATCGGCCCTACTCCGCAGGAGACTCCATCTATGTCAGTCAACAGAATGCCCAGCGGGACCCCCGCCCATCATCGCCACGCGAACCCAAAGCCCACCGTGGCAGAGCGGCCGCATGGGCATAAGGAGGCGCACCCACAGGCGATACCTCTGCCCAATGCTGTACCAGGAGACTGCCCCTTCGTCTCGTGAGAACAATTCCAGTCGGCTATGAGTGCGCAAAGAACCGTTATGGGGGGGATCGTGGAGCCTGGCGAAAGGACTCCCATTCTACCAGAAGACGGCAGCACAATGCAAGCCTTTCTGCTGCGCATCGATCGCCGGTACGCGCTGAAGGGAATGGAGCCGCGTGAGTGGGGAAACGCGCTTATAGACCATCTCGTGGGGCCGGCTCTAACGTATTGGATGTATCTACAGCGAACTATCGATCTAAGCGACTGGACGACCGTAAAGCACCGGCTTTTGGAACGGTTTAACAGAACAATGTCGCAGAGCGAAACGCTAACTGAGTTGGCTAAAGTGCGATGGAATGGTAACCTGAAAGATTACACGGACTGGTTTGCGACTGTAGCGGAGCGGGGCATGAGTCTTACCCCTGCCGAACTCGCGGAATACTACTGCACAGGGCTACCGACTGACCTCCATCTCTCAATAACTAATGACGGACACGTGAAATACCTGACGTGGGAACAAGCGGCGACAGCCGCAACACGGTTCTACGAGCCCAAGCAGAGCGTGGA